TTAATAAAATTATCACCTCTCTTAATTTTATCCTGTTTCAATTCTTCTTAACTTCAACCAAAGCAAAATTTGAACTGTGCTTTTCAAGTCCAGGCTTTTATATTTCTAGTACATATATGTTTGTAAGCAATGTGTGGCTCTATATTTTTTGATTTTTAAAAATATTTTTTCACTTTTTCCCCAGTGTTGCTGATTAAAGCAAAGGTCTTTTCAATGAGCTGCATCCCTAGTTTTTTTTATTTATTATTTATATATGTATCCATTTATCTATTTACTCATTTATTTTTGAGCTAGTGTTTGATTCAGTTGTCCAGGCTGGGATTTAATTTGTAATCTTCTAACCTCCACCTCTCATAGTGGTGAAATTATAGGCGAGAACCACCACCCTCCTTTTGATTAAGATATTTTAAGACAAAGAATGTTTATTCTAATAGATATATTTCCTTACTTTTCATTGATATATAGTATCTCCATTTGTGAGGCTAACATATGTCTCTTTTTGATGGACATTTGGAATTATAAGGCTATCAGTAATAGTCTAAGGCTCAACTAGAAAATAAAATTTACAAAGCTCCTTAGGAATTATCAGACACATAGATATTAGCGTCCTCCACGCCACTGAGTCCCCTCACCTGTTACTGCAATTCAGCAAATATCATTTGTGTGCAGGTGTGAGCAAATAGCAGGCCACATAGATTTAGCAGCCACAGTTCCCAAATAGAAGCTAAAACCTATAAGAGTTACAAAATCACTTCTTTGAAGTCATGGATCTTACTAAGTATTTACATTTCATTTATGGTTTAGATAGAATTTGGTAATGCGGGTTATTTTTACCATAGCAATGCTATGTAGTACCTCAGCTGATATTGTATCTTTACCAGATTGCCAAAAGAAGAAACACAGAATGTTAACCTATTTTTCTCATGAAGAAGGAAAAAAAAGTTAATGTTTCATTGAAGGGGTGTTACCAATTTTTGACTAGAAAAACTCTACAAGTAATATAATTATAGATTATCCAGAAATGACATTTTCTGTAGTATATAATTTGCACTTTAAAAATTATTTGTAATTGCTAAATTTCTCTGTAAAATGTTCTCACCAAATTTTACTCTCATTGACAGCATAAAAGAACTTCTATCTCCTCACACCCTTGTGAAGATTCGGTGTTCTCTGTATCACTTCCCCTCTTCAAAACTGTGTTTTCTGATTTCTCAAGTAAACTACTTTCACTTGGATCATTTCTTCAAGATTGGCTCCTGGATGAAATCAGTGTCAGAGATTTGGTTGCAGAAGAAGTCCTAGGAAGCAAACACACAGAATGAGTACTGGAATGAATGAATGTGGGAAGATAGCAACAAGGCTCCCTCATCAGGGGGTAGGTGGAGGTGACACGTCCTGGAAGCTTAGAGCATCACAATTATTAATCACTTGCGGTTTCTTGCACAGGGTTCAGGAGCAGTTGTTGCAGGAGCTCATATGATATCTGCAGCTTTTGCAAAGTGTCACATTGGTGATAATGTTATGTGCTGTAGAGTTGGTTTTTACCTTAGATGCCTTTAAGAAGGTCAAGAGCAAAATGGATGCAGTCTACACCTTATCTTTCACCAACTGTAAACAATCATGATCTTCAGTGGGCCATGGCAACTGCCTCCTGTCTGCCTCCCAAATAGTGTGCAAATTCACTGTTGTACTCAGAACTGTAAGAAAAAGGAGATAGAGGAAATGTAGTTTCCTTTGCAGCCATATTGATGGTAGGTAATTCAGCTTAGAGAGACAAGAGTAAGGATAAACAAAAGAAAGCTGCAAAAACTGCATTAAATGCTCTTTATCCAGAAATTCTCCATATTTTACCTTTTTTTTCATTCAGTAAATACTTATACAAATCATTATGAATGTTGAGAGGATGGAGGGGTTGACATTCCAGCTACATGCAGAAGGAGACGGTTATTATTAAAAGCGAAGGACTGTGCATGAGAAATTTAGGGAACAGATCTAGATAGCATGAAATCTGAAGTTTTAAAAAAGAGTACAAAGTGAGACTCAATTGTCATAGATGTATACTGAGATAATCGCACTCTTCATCTCAGCCAAAAGGCAAATTTTTCACACCATTTATTTATTGCACATTCATCCAGTAGCCTTAGTGATCAATTTATTGCATGCTATTGGCTTATTTTTACAGATCAGTGAGGATTTAATGTCCAAACTTTCATGTAATAGGAGAAAAAACACATTATTCACTAGCTTAATTTTCATCTTTTGTGTTTATATCCATTATGCTACAGAATGACACAAATTTTATTTATTTACTTATTAGTTTATTAATTTTTTTGGTACTGGGAATCAAACTCAGGACCTTGTGCCTTTCAGGCAGGAGCTGTGCTGCTGAGCTACATCCCTGGTCCCACACAAATTTTTAAATACCAGTTTATAGTTCACCTTCAGATTCTGCGTGCTTGCATTGTTACTGAATTCTCATTAGAAATCATGTTTTCTAGTATCTCTAAGTTCTAACTACATCTCACTTAGCATAACTGTGGTTTCAATTCCTCATTTTTTCTGGCTGACTCTTGACTGATGGATTGGGATAAATCCAAGTCCTGAAGCAGAACTTCTGAGCTCTTGAAATTAGACTGTCTGAATAAATCCATTCTTACCTGGAAAGTAGCTTATGTAATCTTTCATGGATCTCTTAAGTTCTACCACATTCCACTGAAACCTCTTACTCCATTTCCCCGGGAGTATTTACCTCCACACGAACTCAGAGCATGATGATGGCTTCAGTCCCAGGAACAGAGTTACTATTAAAGAAGGGACAAGCCTGACTTGGGAAAAGAAATCATGGAAAGTGACCCCTTCATTGAGGAAGAATAGTGCCGGGGTGCAGGTTTTGTTTTGCTGCTGTCTCTTCAGTTCTGCTGTGAAGTAAGTGGTTTTAAATTCGTGAGAACGCTGGGTCTCTGCCTCGGTGCCCTTAAAAGTGCTTCACTGTGCCCTCCGCTGTCTTCTAAGGTCAAGGTCCTCAAAGATTGCTCTGTAAGTCTGTGTGACACTGGTTGTCCCTCATATCTCTTGCGGTGATGTTTTTAATTCCAAAAACATGGTGTGTAAGTAACTGGACAGAGCTCCAAAAGTATACTTTTAGTTAGTAACTAGCTAAGTCTTGCATAAAAGAAGTGTCATGTTTGCAATTAGTTAATTCTCGCATCAGCAGAGATATCTCTATTAATCCAGGAAGCTGACGGTGAGCTCATTATTCGCCTCTTGGGAAGTATTTGTATTGTGTGAGTATCCTGTCCTATATTCACAGTGATTCTATTATACAGCATTGCCCAGTAATGTTGGCAGGTGGACCTATGCAGAGAGCACACTTGAGGCAAGTTTTTCAGGAAAAGTTTAGTATAGGACAACAGATTTGGAGCCACATGCACTAAAGTATTTGCCTAATGCACATAGGTTGATTGATCATGTAAGGTAGGCATCATTAATACTCTAGGGAGAAGAAACAGATGCCAGACAATTTTATAGGCATTTATTAACTTTAATTACTACATTTCCTCAATTTTAAGACATATTTTCAGCTTTGTTTGGCAGTTCTGGGGATTGAACCGGAGGTCTCATGCCTGATACCCAACTGCTGTGTCATTGAGCTACATCTCCAAGTGTTATAATTTTATTTTCACTGATATTTATATTTCACATAAAGTTTTCCTTCCTCCTTAAAAACCTTTTACTTTCTCTCTTGTTATTGACGTTTTAAATGTAAGACAATATGATATTTTGAGTAATGGCATTTCCAACCAAAGATCATTTATTTATTCACTCATTTGTACATCCAAGAAAAACTTGTTTACCACCTGCAGGGTTTCTAACATTGTTCTAGATGTAGAACCAGCACAGTGGAAAGTACTTCAAGCCTCTCACTGAAAGTCACTGGCAAGTGAATAAACAGATAATACAGATACTGATATTCTTCCAATTTAATCCTAAGGCTTGCTAATATGTGGTGTCACCAAAATATGTGGTGAATGTTTAAATTTTAAAAATTATTATAGTAAATGACAGATTGCAATTAATTTCCCTTAAAATACTCCCTCTCACTTTGAACACACATATCCTATTTTTTCACCACTTGAACAGTTCTACAAGTCCTTTTTTTCTGAGTGTCTCTGCAGACTGTAGAAAATACAAATAGATGGGAATAGTGCTGTACCATGTTACCCAGTGGGAAGGCAGACTGGTAAAACTGTTGAGCTGTGTCCTCACCCATGTTACCCAGTGAAACTGGGACCACACAACAGCTGGCTCATTCCCAAAGGCAAAATGACCCTGAAACATAAACCTTTTGAATTGACTCATAGAGCAGAGATAGGCCCGACAGCACAAATAAGACATTCAATAAAGACTGCCAGTTGTGGCACACACCTGTAATTCCAGCACTCAGGAGGCTGAAGCAGGAGGATCACAGGAGTTCCAGGCTGACCTGGACTACAAAGTGAGTTCAAGGCCAGCTTGAACTGCGTAGTGAGACACTGTCTCAAAAAAAAAAAAAAAAAAAAAAGACAGTGTCTTTGAAGTAAAAGGAAATATTTTCAGGAGGACTAATATCAATGTGTCTTTTAATTAACAATTTTTAAAATTTAAACATTCACCAGTTTTTTTCAATCACACCATCTATGATTCTTTCAACAGATGACCTAGTAGCCAAAATGTCTAAATGAGAAAACTTAAATTTTACTAGTATCATGGCATAGAATTTCTAAAACTGACAATTGCACGGTGAATATAAACTTGTGAAAAATAACAACATTTTAAAAATTGCTAACCACTTTCTAAAAGATAACTGGTGCTTAAAAAAAAACAGATGATACAGCCCTGACTTTTCAGAAAATAAACCAATAATCCACTGAGTTTACGACTCTGCCCACCAGGGGGCGCATCTTTCTAACTCGTGCGCGTTCCCTTCTGCTTCTAAGTCCACACTCATCCTTTCACTAAGCGCAAACCGTCCTTGCACGGAGAGGTCCAGATGCACGGACTCCAGAGACCGAAAATGAGCTGTTTCCCAGGGACTCTGATTGTACTGTTCTTAGCACTTGGTAAGTAAAATGGCAGGTAAAGCTTAGAGCCTTTGAGCCATGATGTCGAGACAATTTTTAACCAGTTTTCTGTGAGAAAGATCCCAGGTTATGAGTGCTTCAAGCTGTGTAAGCTGCCACAGATTGTTTTCGTTTTTTCTTTTTAGGAGGAAGCAGTGGAGACTCAGTGACCCAGACAGAAGGCCAAGTGACACTCTTTGAAAGAACTTCCCTGACTGTGAACTGCTCGTATACAACCACGCAGTACCCTGTCCTATTCTGGTATGTGCAGTACCCTGGAGAGGGGCCACAGCTCCTCCTGAAAGCCACAAAGGACAAGGAGAAGGGAAGCAACAAAGGCTTTGAAGCCACGTACGATAAAGCCGCCAGCTCCTTCCACTTGGAGAAAGCCTCAGTGGACGCGTCAGACTCGGCTGTGTACTACTGTGTTGTGGGTGACACAGTGGCAGGAACTGCAGGGGGAGCCGAGCACAAACTCTGAGCAGCAAGGGGCCTGGCTGCTGGGTGTCCGCCTTGGGTTTTATGGTTTGGGGCCAGGTGCTTGTCTAACACGGTTGCTGCCCGCCAGCCACCACCAGTGCTGTGATAGCGTAAAAGTCACTCAAATCCAAGCCAAGAAAATTGTACAAGAATAAGAAATGAACTGGCTCACACAAGATGCTTTAACGGTGAGAGTGAGAACAATCTGTTACAGAAGTTTCTCAACCATGGTGGATATTTCATTTTAAAGGGATGAAACCTCATGCTGAATGCAATGGTTTAACTTCGTGTGCAATTCTATCTCCATGAATCTGTCCCCAGTCTTCAGGGAAACAGTGTGTTTAGAGGCAGCCATGGTATTTGAAGGTGCAAATGCTGCCTCCCTGACAAGCCAGTGATTTCTGAGGGAAATTTCAGCCCAAACTAATAAGTTCTTAATAAAAAAAAAAAACCCTCAAAGTATGAGAGGGTATGGAAAGAGAAGATGGAACATTCTCAGTTTCTTTTTGGGAAAATTACATGTTACACACACACTGGTGTTCTTCAAAATAGATTCCTCAAGATTAAGCCTGAGAGACCCCACACTCCAGAATTCCTCAGTGAGTCAGTCTTCTGCCAGCAAGATGCAGGGGAAATGTCTAGGATCTGGAGAAGGAATTCTCTACATAGACAAAGCCATTTTTTTCTGGAGATTGTTATGGAGGGAACCCCAGGTTCTGCAGACCTTCATAGATCTGCAGAGTGGAGAAAGGATCTGCATAGGTCCACAGGGTGGAGAAAGGATTCCTTATTACTTTGTAAAACATATCTCCAGTGCACATACATTCCAAGGGAAATTCACTGAGGAAAACCTTTTAATTTGTTTAGGACTTAAAAGATATTCTGTACTTGGTCACTGTACCTAAAAGATAGCTGTACTCCCAGCTACTCAGAAGCCTGAGGTAGCAGGATTGTTTGAGCCAAAGAGTTCCAAGTCAGCCTGGACAACATAGGGAGATTCTGTCTCAAAGAGTAAACAAACAAAATATCAACAATCATAACCACCCCCACCCACAGATAGAAGGATAGTCAACATGAATTACACAGCCTGAAATTGGACTTCCCCATTCTACTATGTATAAATTTCCAATATACAGAAAGAAAAAGGATAATCAAATTATTTGGCTCTTGGCAATAGATGTACTATAAGAGGCCAGTATATGAATTCCCTCTTGCTCATAAAGTTTGTTTTCCTTCCTTTTCTAGTAGTTTGAAAAGTTAGATCAGAAACTTGTAATAGTATTCATATCTGCTTGTAGTTCCTTTCATTATAATGAAATATGCAAGAAGAAAGTAGAATACAATGTTAAGTTGGAGGTCAAAATTACGAAGTTTGTAGGAGGGAGGGAGAATTGGGGTGCTCTAGGGTCCTGGGTAGCTATTCTGTAGTTTCACATGGAATATGAGTTTGGGAATTTTACAAAGGGCTCAAGGAAAATCTATGGACAGATTTCCATGGAATAATTGAGTTATTCCCTTTCATCTTGCTTTATGTAGCAGTGAAACAAAAATAAAAGTTTGGAATTTGGAAATTTGACTTTAACTCTTTCATCAGATAAAATTTCAGCACAACCTAGAAGAGAATCTTCATTCAATGTCCAAACAGGAAAAAAAAGAATGTATATATATATATATTGTTGTTTGCTTGTTTTTCTGAGACAGGGTCTTGCTATATAGTCCAGGCTGGACTTGAACACACTATGTAGCCCCAGGCTGGCCTCCAATGCCTAGTGATCCTCCTGCCTCAGCCTCACCAGTGCTGGGATTACAGGTGTGCAGCACAATGTCTGGCTAAACAGAAAAAATATTTTTGACTTGGACAATGTTTACATCAGCAGTGTGGTGTGGATGTTTTCACAGATGAAACAGGCTTTTGGGAGAGGTTTTCTCTTCCTGCAACTAAAATAAGCATCACAAATTCCTCCAAATAATGCACATTTACTTATGGCAACATGTTACATTTTTACCATCACAAAATATTGGAACTTATTTTATTTTTATTAGTGCATGTTTGCATTGCAGAATGATCACATACATTATGGGGGATTTGTGGAGAAAACATTTTAATTCCTTTGCTTTTTGCCCCTCTCTTCCCCTCTCTCCAACCCTTCTTCCCCTCCCCATTCACACAAGTTCATTTCCATTTTTCTGAATTCTTTTTCCTTCAAATTCCTTTTCCCTTCTTTCCTTTGCAATCCCTCCCATTTTGTGGTCCTTTTCCAGTTGAACAAGTTCTTTCTACTTCATAATACCTATCCTCCATTTTGCTCCTTATTTATCCTTTGGGTTTTTCACACAAGAGAAATAATGTGATATTCAAACTTGTGTCTGATTTACTGTACTCAAGAGTATTGTCTCTAGGTAAAACCATTTACCTAATAATGCCTCAAGTTTATCCTTCTTTATGGTAGAGTTCTCCACTGTATACAAACACCACATTTTCTTTATCCATTGATCTTTTTATTTAGTTGGTTCTAAGGTTTAGCCGTTATAAACTGTGCTGCTATGAACATAGGCGTGCACGTATCACTGTGGTATGATGCCTCTAAGTCTTTGAGGAAGACACCTGGAAGGGCAATAGCTGGGTCAAATAGAACCTCTAGTTTTAGCTTTTGGGGAATCTCCATACTGATTTCCAAGTGGTTGTACCAATATATACTCCCACCAACAATGGAGACAGCTTTCCTTTTCCCCCATAGCCTCACCAATATTTACTGTTGGTTGGTTTCCTGATGATAGCCATTTTTTCTGGCTTGAAATGGAATCTAAGTGTTGTTTTATTTGCATTTCTCAATGACCAGCAATGCTGAGCATTTTTTCATGTATTTATTGGCCATTTGTACTTCTTCATTGGAGAATTGTCTATTCAGCTCAGATGCCCATTTTAAAATTTGGTCTTTAAATATGGGGGGTGATAATTTTTTTGAGTTCTTATGTTTTCTAGATATTAGTCCTCTGTCTGAGACACAACTGACAGTATTTTTTTTACCATTCTGTAGGATGTCTAAGTACTCTGCTGGTGGCTTCCTTTGCTCTGCAAAAGTTTTTTAATTTGATGTGATCTCATTTGTTAATTATTTGTAATATTTCCTGTGCAACAGGGGTTTTGTTCTTAAAGTCTTTTCCTACACCTTTTTCTTGAAGAGTCTTGCCTATTCTATCTTCCAGCAGATTTAGTGTTTGTGCTATTTATATCTTTGATCCATTTCAATTTTAATTTAGTGCATGGTAAGAAATATGGGTCCAGGCTCAACCTTTGGCTTGTGGAAAGCCAGTTTTCCCAGCACCATTTATGAAGCTATCCTTCCTCCAGGGAAGGTGTTTAGTCCCTTTGTCAAAAATAAGGTAGGTAGCTGAGTGTCCCTGGAGTCACATCCTCTAGTCTGTTCCACTGATCATGAGTCTGCTCTTTTGCCAATATCATGCTGTTTTTGTAGTATAATTTGCAGTCAGTGATTGTGATGGCCCTAGCCTTGCCCTTGTTGCCCAGAGTTACTTTTGCTTTTCTAGGTCTGTTCTGCTTTCAAATGAATTTCAGAATTTTCTCTAGTCCTGTGATGTATGCTATTGGTATTTTAATCGGGAGTGCATTAAATCTGTATGGCATTTTTGGAAATATGGCCATTTTCACTATATTGGGTCTACCTAACCAAGGACAAAGAATATTTTTCCATTTTCTGATATCCTCTTCAATCTCCTTTTTCAGAGTACTACAGTTGTCATTACAGAGGCCTTTCACTTTAAACAGGCAATCATTCTCCCTTGCAAGTACTTCTAAAAAAGTTAAGCACAGAGCTGCTTTATAAACCATATAACTTTGTTGTTGCCACTGGCACTCTAACACCCAACCAGAGAGGTGTCAGGCCTGTTTTAATCTCGTTGTTCTGAGCAGATGTTTTATCATTGTGAAAATATCAGTTCGTGGGGTTTGAGGTAAGTGTGAAGGAAGGGAGATAAATTCATCCACTGAAAAACTGAAGCAAATGGAAAATTGGCATCATCTACATTCTATATGATAACATAGCAGCATACAAAACTGAGTCACTAATGAATTTCTGTGTTGGTTACATGGACATAATGTAAAATGGGGGCATTCTGTAGATTATAGCATCATGAGAAAGACCTGCCCTGGTCACCATGAGGTTATTTACAAATAACGAGATTATGGGGGTGGGGGATTTGGCTCAGCGCAAAGCGCCTGCCTGGCAAGCACAAGGTCATGAGTTCGATTCCTGGTGCCAGAAGAAAAGCAAAACAAAACAAAAAACAAACAAAAACAAACAAACAAACAAAAGAGATTATGGAATTGAATAAATGAGTCGCAGTACTTTCAATCAGTGGAATGGAAAATGTGATATCAGGACAATCACAGCACACATAATATGATAAGTATAATCTTTTTCCGGAGGCAACAAGTTTGAATGCCTTCAGCTCCTTAATATCTTTTAAATAAAATGTCAACTTTAAAGGAATAAAATTTATAATATTATAATTTCACAAAAACATAATCAATAGTCTCTGGAAGACAGAAGGACTTACTTTTACAATTTGATTTAGGAATAGTTTTATGAATTAAAAGTTTAAATAAGTTATAGAACTGAGTAAGTAAGAAGGAAAAGATTCAGGAATTATCTTTTTGTTATCATTTGTTTTTTGAGACAGTGTCTTGCTATGCAGTTCAGGTTGGCTTTAAACTCACTTTGAATGCCAGACTGGCCTTGAACTTGCAGGGATCCCACTGCTTCAACCACCCAGGTGCCGGGATTACAGGCATGCACCACCATGCCCGGCTCTAGAAATTACTCTTGATATGCTTGCTTTCACAGAAACAAAGACTTATGTGGAGAAGTGTAAATATTTGTTATTGACTAGTAAGCAGAGTGGAAAAAGAGTCTGTAGCTCGATATAGATTCTACTATAAATGGGTCCCCCAAATTACTCTACTAAGCAAACTCAGTGTGTGTCAATCTGCAATTCCCCTCAGCGTCAACCCCCAATACTAACTGCTGTTCTTTGGCCACCTCTTTCGATGCTGCTTAACCTGGCTTTCAGAGAAACATAAATAAACTGAGTAGCAGTTTGGGG